GGTTGCGGGTGGGGCCCGGAGGAGATGATGGTGCTGGAAGGGCCCAGGCGTCTGGCCTGGGGAGATGGGGGCAGGGAGCCTTCTGGACTCTGCGTTAGCCCACGCGTGCGTCCCGCATCGGTGCCTCCACTGTCCCCCTTGCACCTTGCCTCACCTGGTAGCAGGTGTGTCTTCCCAAAGGAAGTTGAGTTCAGAGACCCAGGTACCAGCCTAACACTAACACTGGAAGGGCTTTCCGGTGTCATCTCGATCAACCTCCTGCTCGTTGCTGGGAGCGCTGTTCCGTGACCCTCTGGTCAGCTGGCCACTGGCCTCTAGCTGAACACTCCCTGTGACCAAGTGTCCAGTTCTTTGTAAGAGTGTCTGTTTCATTTTTCAAGTCCCATCACTAGAAAGTTTTTATTTATATTGTGCTAAAAAGTGCGCCCCTGACTTTGACTCTGGAGTTGCCTAAGACAATTCAGACACTTGACCACAGCTCCCAGTCCCCCCACTGCAACACCCTGCTCCCCCAGGGTCCCTCAGGCTCCTGTGACCTTCCCTCTGGCCAGGGGAGTCTCCTGCCTGTCCGTTGTCACAGGCATTGGCCTCCTGTTCCTACAGACGGGAGGCCACAGTGGCTCTCATGGCAGCCCCACTCCTCTGCTCTCATTTGGAAGTCACCTGAACCCTTGGGGCTGCTTTCACGTGAACTGCTGCTGACCCAGAAAGTACTTCTGAATTTCGGGAGGCACACGGAGATCTTCCCATTTTTTTCCCTAACGTATTTCCTGTTGTTAACTTTTGATACGGGATTCCCGGTCACTTTAGCTGCTAGAACATTCTTTCTCTTGAGCTGGAATCTGTCTCCTCTGCCGCTTCTGATCGTAGTGTAGTGGTTGTCTGTCCCACCGGCCTCCTGACCAGCGTGCAGCCTGGTTTCTCCTCCTTGTGTGACTCACCCTCCCGTGTGCGTCTTGGGGAGTGCTGATCTCAGACAGAAGTCGGGTTGAGCAGTAAGGATCGTCAGGGGGCTAAAGAGCACCCCAGGGTTGTCCAGCCTGCCTCACCCACTTCACCGTGGGGAAGGCACAGCAGACCAGGGGAGAGGAGCTGCTCAGGCCGCTCAGCAGTGGTGGGGCCTGGAATACTGGCCCCTCCGTCTGTCACCAGGGCCCTTTCTTCCCTACCACGGGGCAAGTTACTCAAAACGCTCGGGCCTCCACTTCTCCATCTGTGAAATGGAGCTGTGGGGATTAGCGAGTTAATTCACGTAGCGTGCTTGCCAGAGTCGGCCCGATAAGGGCTCACCAGGGGAACCTTTCCTTCATTCTGCCTTGCTGCCCCCCGGGGCTGTACAGAAGCAGCAGGTACTTTCCCCTGCTCCGGGAAAAGAGCGAGGCACGTCACTTGTGTAGTAAGGGGTCCTTCCCGTATCGAGAGGAAGCTGAGGGGTGTGGACTTGGAGTGGATCTTCCGAGAGGGGAAGGCCCCATGCGTCTGGGCTTCAGGCCCTCTCAAAGCTGGCTTCCTTACCCTCCCTTCCCCCCGCCCCTCTAAAATGGCAGGAGAGAGGGCGATGAACGGGCTTGGGTTCAAATCACGGTTCTACGATTTCCCTGATGTGTGACCTTGGGCCAGTTTTACTTAACCCCTTTGGAATCTGAGTTTCTTCTTCAAAAGGAGAGAGAAATACAGTGGAGCGTACGACAGCCGTAAAAGAATGAGGAGGCTGTTTCTGTACCGATGGAGCTGCGCCCAAGACACGGTCAATGGGGAAAAGCGTGCAGGGCAGTCTGCACGGCATGCTACCAAACTTGAGAAAAGGAAAACATAAATCTTTTGCTCACTCATCTACACGTACCACAGCCCTTGATGTGCAAGCCACCGTGACACTGGACGTCTGAGGAGGGGGTGGAGTGGAGGTGGAGAGAACAGGGCGGCTGCGAGTCAGGACAGGAAGACATTTTACCGCGCTCACCGCGGCCTTGGCGTTTCCAACCATGTGGCTGTATGGTGCCTACGCCAAAGTTTTACACTTAAGTTTAAAAAGGAGACAAAGAGGGAGGGGAATGACGCCTCGGCCTCTCAGACACGTGGGGGAGTCTAAATAGGCCCCTGGAGGAATCAGTGCGGCGCCTAGCACATAGCGCGTAACCGCCAGGGGTTGAGAAGTGTCAGTTGTAGGCACCGACCCGCGTGGGTCCCCCTGCCTGTGCTCCCCTCCCCCAGCCTGTATACCAGCTAGCCCGTGCATTCCTCTCCGGGGGCCTGACTTCCTCTTGCCCCCCCCACCCCGCCCCCCAGGCTGATATACTGGCTGACCTTCGCCGTGGGCCGCTCCTTCCGAGGCTTCGGCTACGGCCTCACGTTCCTGCCCCTGCTGTCCATGCTGGTGTGGAACCTGTACTACATGTTCGTGGTGGAGCCCGAGCGCATGCTCACCGCGGCCGAGAGCCGCCTCGACTACCCTGACCACGCCCGCTCGGCCTCGGACCACAGGCTCCGGCCCTGGGGCTGAGTGCCCGCCCTCTCACCGCCCCCACCCCAGGCCGAGCCCCACTACTGCCCTGTCTTCTGCCCTCCGTCGGTATTGCCCTCCACCTTGGGGGCCTGGGGCAATCGTGAGGGAGGGACTTTGGTTTCTGGCAGGGAACGGACTGGATGGCTACGCCCCTTACGGATGCTGAGGGCCCAGGGCCAGGAGCAGCCCCCAGCACCGCCACTAGCCCACATGCCCACAGTGGCCACCCCCCCCCC